CCTGTACGATAAAATTGTTATTTTTATTTATATTTACCTAGGTCCCACGTCTTAATAGTAGATTTGAGGCATATGGGACAATTAGAATCAGTGGAAATAATGCAGTCATTGCAAACATTGTGCATACAAGGGTAAACTACGGCAGATTTCCCAGCTGGGCATCGAGTACACCTATCGTCAATGTCTGTGAAACAAATACAGGTAAAATACATTTTATGACAATTGAAAATAAATTAATGAATAAAGTACACAAACATGCAATTTATAAATTGTACTCTTCTACAGAAGTAGTAGTGATTAAATATTTAGACTGCGATCATTAAAAAAATATTTTAAATTCCAGTTCATCTATTACACGATTATACTATCTACAATGCTATTAGCTATAACAATCTATGTAATCTCTGTATTACAATTTATCAATGCCGGCACTAAGTCTTATATAACCTCCGTGCTAGGAGGGAGGGGTTAAGGAGGGATGAATTCGAATATCCATTTAATTTTATGTTTAATTTCAGGATATAATTGAGGAAATAGGAGTTGATGTTGTTTTTGTACGCAATAGCCACGGAAAATGTCACGACCATTACCATGACTTTTGTCATTTTATTTTGAACTACAGTCCCTTTTAAAAGAACATCCAAACCACGACTTAACATCTTCGTGTAATTTTGTATGTAGCGACTTGATGACCGAGACATCAAATTACCACGAATCGTGCATATTTATGTTCTATCCTCCCTTTGGTGACGAATCGGTACAAATCGGTGCAAATCTAAAATGTCATCGGTATAAGCCAGGCCGGAGTGGGAAATGCATGTGTTTCAGGCCCCACAGTATAAGTTTTATTCGGGAAGGATATTATTGGTTAGAAAAACTTTTATTAGGCTTTCCAGACAAAAAACGATAGTTTTTTCGTTATGCAGTCATTTTTACTGGCAAGTCTAGGATAGACTTACCGGTAAGATGCTTCATCCCCGTCCCTCCCGAAACAGTAATTCTGTAAAACTTCGCTTCGGCAATGGCTGCAATACTAAAAATAATACTTAATAATAAATTAATCGTAATAAATGATCTGAATCTTGACATTTTCATTGGATGTTCGACAAAATAAATATTCAATTACTAGATACTCCGTTTTTTTAATTGATCGTTTGAGTTCTTTGACCGTTTGAAATTATATAACACGTTTAATATTACCAATTGTAACCTCTAGTATCTGATTACACGATTAATAATTTTATAAAAAAAATTTTTCAAAATTTCATTACTATTAACGATGTCAAATACAAACAAAGTTTATGGTCTAAGAGTAGTAGTTATAAACGCATAACGCAGAAGTCGTGTTGAAAATTATAAAAAAAATCATTTTCAATTATTTATTTTGATTTAATTATTGTATACCACCTCGTATACAATATTGGATATTGTATAACTAAAGCCCAATTTAAATTATTCGTGTATTAAGCAATACTGAAAAGAATATATATTATTTTTTGTAAATCTTAGATTCGAGATATTTACCGTATACATTAATCACGTCTATTTAATTAGTAATTAGCATCTATTCTAATCAATAACAATAGATATTTTATATTATAATTAATTTAGGAACCAACATTTTTTTTTCCAATTCAATAATAATTTTTGAACAATTTATAAACTTTTTCATATTTTACGATTACTTCAATATACATAAATCAAATAATATTTACATCAACGTACCCATAGAAAATGCAAATGATAAAGCTAATAAAATCATTAAACCCTTCTTGAACATCATCTGAAAAGCGTAATTACAACTATAATAATTTCTGACATCATTATATTTTATTAAATTTTTTCCATATATTTCCTAAACTTTCGTTTCTAAGAAAATCAGTATTGTAAAATTAAATAGATTCACGGAGGACATTCATAAAATCCAAACGAGTTGTCACAGTTATAATTCGTAGAAATTCAGTTTTAAATTAACGGATTTCCGAGTCATTCTTGAATTTACAGTAAGTTGAATTTAAAAAATAAAAAATTTTTAGCAATTAAATTTCACCTCGGATATCATATCAGAGGTAAAATGTATTATTATGTATATTTATGATAACGTGTACTTTTTTAAAATGAGACGTCTCAAAATTAATTTACCGTTATGATAATTGTAATTAATAAATTTTCAAAGCTATAGAAATATTTACGTTTTACGATAAAAAATTGTAAATAAGCGCAGTGCCTCACAGTGGTATTAAATAGGGTTTACCTAATATTTGCCTTTATCTAATACTTACCGAAAGAAGCAATCTTTTTAACGCTGATCGATAGTCTTAAAAACTTAAGTTTTTTCCTCGTTCGCGATTGAACTAGGGAACACGTCAACAGATTTAAAAAACACCACGTTGTGCATCGTGATGTTTGAACAGTTTTTTCAATAGGTTAGGTAATTTTTATTTTAATTTTCAGTGTACCACATTTTAACACGTTTTGAAAGAAATAAATCCAAAGTACGAGAATAATACTCACGTAAAACTTAATTTAAATTGAAAAAAAATTTACTTAAATAAATTTTACATATTTTGTAACAACGTCGTTTGATAAAGAGTATTTTATTTATAAAAAATAAATCGATACACACACACGTGTATGTTACTATGAAAAATAATATACGCGCATGCAGAGAATGTTGTATGGTAATGGGTGCTAGTATTCTGAGCGGCTTTATATATTATAGAAAGACATAAATGTATATACAGAGTGATTTTTTTATCATAACCCACTCAATTACTTGCAGAATAATAATAATTTAAACATTTTTTTTTTTTATTATCTTTAGTTACACATTATTCTTGAATTTTTAACTATGTAATACTTTTTAAGTTCATCCCTTATGCCTTGGAAGGGGGTCATCTTTGTTTTTTTAAATGGTAACACATATTTTTAATTTAATAAAATGTTTGAGTTATTAATTCAATAGTAAATGGCATATGAATTTTTAATGAAACTTAATTTGTTTATTAGATATAATCATTTAAAGTTTCAAATTTTTGAATTAATATACAGGTATAATACACAAGGGATTACAAATACAGGTAGCTAATTGGTTTTTTATAACATCGATATTAGCAGGTACACAGCATTGTTATTATCAATTGTAGTAAGGCACATTGTTATGAGTTTATAAATTTTATAACTGACAATACAGAAAGTATATCTATTGATAATCATAATTGATAATAAACAATCCGTGACTGAGACAGCAATGTCATAAAAATCCAATTAGCTACCTGTATTTACAATCCCATGTGTATTATACATGTATATTAACTCAAAATTTTGAAACTTTAAATGTTTATATCTAATAAGCTAATAAAGTTATATTAAAAATTCAAATGCCATTTACTATTAAATTAAAAACTCAAACATTTTATTAAATTAAAAATATGTGTTACCATTTAAAAAAACAAAGATGACCCCCTTCCAAGGCATAAGGGATGAACTTAAAAAGTATTACATAGTTAAAAATTCAAGAATAATGTGTAACTAAAGATAATAAAGAAAAAAAATGTTTAAATTATTATTATTCTGGAAGTAATTGAGTGGGTTATGATAAAAAAATCACCCTGTATATTAGGGTGGTCCTTAAAATACAAATTTTCAAAATTCGATTTACGCGCACTTAAAAATTGTTCTAATACATGTAAAAATAAACTGTCCAAAATTTGGTCCCATAGGTTGACGTTAA